ATGGCCGAAGCTACTTCGGCATTCTCCCACTCTGAAAACCCGGGGAGGATGTCCCAAAGGACAGCGGGAACTTCATCGTCCCGTCCAGAAGCGCTCGGCCCCTCCGTTCTCTGAGGAGGAGCCGAGGAAATTGGAGTCGCCCTAATCCCTTCAGCAGGGTCAGACTCTGGCCTTTGTCCATTCCAGGTCCCAATCCTGTTCCTAGGATCGGGAATTGGCCTTGCTCTTCTTGGAGCACGGGCTCTACCTCTAACTCCTCTTGCCATTGATTATTTCGAAGAAAAAAGTCGAAAAAAAAAGGGGAAGGAGTTCGAATTCGAAGAAAAATAAACTGAAATCAAAGGAATTTACCTTAATCTGAAGCGAAGGTTGCCGATTTACGAGTTCGTAGTGGCAAGTCTCAGTTTCTAAGCTTAATGCTCGGGGAATTTGCGAAGTTTTGATGCGGGTTCTTGGTTTCTCTCGAGAATTCTGGGTTTGTGTTGGTGAATAAGTGAGGAGAGATGACGCGTCTCTGTTTATATCTCCAGGAATGGGATACGGGGAGTCCGCGTTTCAATTTCTCTTAAATACCCCACTAAGTAACCGTTAAACACACGACCTTACGATTAAACTGCCCATTATCCGTCCAACTTCCACAATCATCCACCTTAACCGTTGTTATCTCATTAATTACGGTTTAAATTCAAATTTTTGGATTAATTAAATCATTTACTTCCCTCCTTTTCTGAATTAAATCAAACCCGACCCGTCATCCTTCCAAATCGGGTCTGGGGGGCAAGTTGTTTGGGTCCAATTTAGTCCAATTGGGCCTAGGCATTAAATGATCCAATTAAAAGCCCAAGGTCAAGGTTCAACTCTCCAATTGTGCTAAAGTCAAAGGTCAGCCCTCAAAGCAAGCCAATTGGGCTAAGGCCCAACCTCTCCATGTATGAAGAGGTATAAAAGCCATCAATATTCATACATTGATACATGGATTCACATATTCACATACATTCTCATATATTCTCATATATTCAAGCAAAGCCTCAAGCAACTAATTCTCTTGCATAGTGTTCTCTTTCTACACATTGTACTGACTTTAGCATCGGAGGGGCCTTTCTCGGCAACACCCCCGAGGCTAGTTTACGTGTGTTTACTGTGCAGGAAACCTTCGGCCCAACATAACTTGGACCGAATCCAGTCTTCTCCGTTTCAGCGGACCTTCGACAAGGTCCCATTGTTTTCACCCGAAACAGATCATATGTCATTAGCTTACATTAATTAAACGTAATGTCGTTATTTCAAAGCAGATCACATGTCATTAGCTAACATTAATTAAATGCAATGTCGTTATTTCAAAGACTAAATAGATCATATCATCATATGTCATTAGCTAACATGAATAGGACATAAAATGAACCTAGAGAAAGGGATGCTTCGCCAATTAACTTCAAGATTTCTAGTATTCCTTTAACGAAATATTTGGTATAATATCGATTGACAACATAAGTTTGGGGATCAGAGAATGAGACTACATGCTGACTACCATTTAATATCGATGTATACACTCTTCGATGGATACATAATAATATATAATATTTCTCTTGTCTCCCATTTTTTTGGCAAATTGCAAATGGGTCAAACTTTAAAAACTTTGACCATAAATTCCCATTAATCAGCAAGCGATAATATATTCATTTGGGTTCTTGTTAGATTCATCTTATTGTTTACTTTATTAATATCAAGTTCTTATAATTTTCATGCGTACATAAAAAAAAAAAAAAAAAACAGGGACAGAGGGGATACCTCGATAACGAGTGACCCAATGTGGTTGAGTTTTAAGCCAATGACAACGTGGCCAATCCATGTCGACCACAAACGCTTAAATAGACAATTATGTTCATATACGCTACAATAAAGAAGGAGGCAGTATGGAGGTTGGTCTGTTGTTTTCATACAGTTTAGGGGAGGTTGAAAGTGTTAAATGCTGTTATTGTATGAAACATCGATTTGTAAGGTGAGGGGGGAAGAGTGGGTGACACTAAATTAAATTTTAATAAATATAAAATTACAAAATTACTTGTCCAATGCAATTGATTATTGAATGGGCTAAAGTAGTGGTTGTTACATTTACTATACCAAATAATTCTAGTTTTTGGCAAATATACAATATTTGTATGTGAATTTTATTTATTTATCTTTTTAAGTTATAGGCTAGAATTTATGTAAGAAAGTTGCTTGTTACACTCTCCAATTTTATATTTTACAATAAGTTGGAGTTTCATGTTGATTTATGGCCATGTTTGGTAAATGGCTTTTTGGCGGCTTTTTGGTTAGCTTTTGGCTTTTTTATGAGGTCAAATAGCCAAAAAATGTGTTTGGTAATTGGCTTTTTAGCCAGTGAAAAAGCTGGCTTTTAAGCCAAAATGAAAAAGCTGTTTTGAGTAGCTTTTTTGTTGGCTTTTGGCTTGTTGGCCCACAAATTATCTAATAAACAGCCAACTACCAACAATTAATTTACCAAACACTTTTATAAACAGCCAGCTTTAACCGTCAATTTCAAAAGCCATTATAAACAGCCAAACATACCAGCTGGTCAAACAAGCCAAGTGAACCAGCCAACAGCCAACCGCCAACAGCCACTTGCCAAACAAGGCCTATATATTTGGCCTAGTAGTAAAGATTTCAGGTATTATACTATCTCACGAATACTTCAATGCCAAAGGTTTATCTAAAACAATTTTTTTTTTACTTTATTTTTATTACATTCGAGTCGGGTTACACTCCAGATCTTCTTCTCTCCATCACCTTACTATCTAAAAAAACCCTTTTGTTTGTTTGTTTGTGTTGTTCGTTTGTTGTATCAAAACAACATCAATTTGAATCCAACTTTTGATTATAAAAAAAAAACACGAAGTAGACATTAACTTTTGATAGGCAGTTGTCAGTGGTTGATTAATTGTCAACTTGTAAAAGATTGTTGTTTGAATTTAATGTTATTTTGCAATAATGGCTTTAAATTGATCTATTAAGTCACTATTGCAACATTAATTTTAAATCTTACATTGCCCTACTTACAAACTACCAATAACTATAAACAACAACCATTGTCAAGAAACCTTACTACATACTATCCGTACAGTACTACATTAAAACCTAACAACAAGTTTAGAAGAAGATCTTAATATGAAATATGTCCTTTATCGACCATTTGGATAGACTCACAATCAAAAATAAAAATAAAAATTGTCATGTCAACCTAAGACCTCAATACTGATCAATCACACTAGGGCTAGCAAGCTAAGTTAGACCCTTTGAACGTGGAGGGGAGGCCGGAGGGGGATGAGAAATCTTCATCTAAAAACAAAAACCACCTAATATATAGAGAATAAACCTCCTATTACTAATTAAGGCCTATTCACATTTACTTAATTTCAGTTCAGTTCAGCTCTAATCGGTTCATTACAGTTCAGCTCTAATCAGTTCAGTTCAGCTCCTAATTTCCCTCTCTCATAAAATATTCATATCAGCTCAGTTCAGTTCAGTTCAACTCAGTTCAGTTCAACTCAGTTCAGTAAATGTGAACAAGCTCTAAGTGCGTGATAGATGCAAGTGCAATTATTATTAGTATACCGTGTTTAGGGCCTGTTCTCATTGACTGAACTTGGCTGAACTGAACTGAGATGAACTGAACTGAACTGAAATGAATATTTTATAAGAGAAGGAAATTAGGAGTTGAACTGAACTGAACTGAGCCGAACTGAACTGAAATGAACTGAATTTCAACGTATGAGAACAGACCCTTAGCTTGTTGACTATAATTGACTTTTAAAAGTATGCAACACTACAAAGAAGAAAAAGTACGTATATGTTTACGTATACCAATATAGTGATATATCATATACAAAAATTGAAATATTCTTGCCAAATAAAACTTAGCTACAACATACAAGTATTAAACTATTAAGTTGCAAAATTTTTGGACAGAATAATATGCATCCTACAAATTTGTTATTTTTATCGTTGATAATAACTTTATTTGGATATCATTTTCGACAACATAGTTTATCTCCAGCTAAAAGAAATCAAAGATATGCAAATGTTGATTTTGCTACATTTCCTTACAAATTGGATAATTAATACGAAGTAGTTATTACGTCGACAATACATTATATCAATCGAAGTTGATTGTTGAGGTTGGACCCTTTCGTATAAATCTTGCAAGATTTTCATTCAATTTGATGGCAGAATTATGGGACCCAACATCAATGTTTCTCCACATTACTCTGTTTCAACATACTGTAGTTGCAATTTTTTTTTTCTCGATTTCTAATACATAACTTTCATATATTTAGGTGAAAAACTACAACGGGTAAAAAAAAATAAAATAAAAATAAAATAAAAAAGTTGAAAAACTACACATAGTTAATTTTTTGAAAGTACATATATCAACAATTTTTTTTTTTTACTTTTTTGGTGCCCTAATTTCACCTTTTACACTATTTACATACTCCACATTAGTTAGCTATATGACGTGTAATAAATTTTATATATAATCATGTGGATCCTAGTTGAAATCATCTCAATGTTAAGCTTTTAAATATAAACTTTTAATAATTTATACTTCTTGATAATCAAATATGAAGTATATTATTGAAAATTAAACTTGTACCTTATCATATATACTCAGGGCCTAATTTGATTTACTGAACTCAGTTGAACTAAACCGAAATGAAATAAAATGAATTATTTATGAGAAAAGAAAATTACGAATTGAACTGAACTGAAATTAAGCTGAAACGTTAAAATAGGACAGTCAAAAAAATACTGTACTGATGGAGTAGTGTACTCTCTATTAAAGTTTACCCTTTAAAAGAGAAATAGCTAGCGTAACTATTTTCAAACCGTTAAAGTATATTTCATTCCTTTTTTTACATCTCCACCTACCTTCTATTTATGGCCTAACTAGACTCTAGTATTTCCTCTCACTCTCCTTCCAACTTCTATATATAGGCAATATCTAGGTTTAGCATTCCCTCATATATTACACTCATACCACTTATATATTGCCTAATCTAGGCTAAGCTTTAGCATTTCCTTTTAACATAATAACAAAAGAAAAGAGGGAGAATGGAGTTTAGCTTTGTTAAGATTGAGCAATACCTTAATTCCTTCAAATCATCCAATGCTTTTTTACCAACAACTTTGTTCATTCTCTTAGTACTCATTTTTTACCTTAAGTCTAAGAAAAGAACTATCTACCTCTTAGACTATGCATGCTATAAACCTCCACCAACACTACGAGTCCCATTTTCAACATTTATTGAGCATGCTATGATAGTCTTTAAAGACAATCCAAAAGTTGCGCGTTTTCAAATGCGTATTCTTGAGAGGGCGGGACTAGGAGATGAGACGGGGCTTCCCCCCGCGCTACAATTCATACCTCCGGAACCCTCATTTTCTCGGACACATGATGAAGCTCATCTAGTCATCTTTTCTTCTATCGACGAGCTTCTTAAAAAGACCGGGGTTAGACCCAACAATATTGGCATACTTATCACTAATTGTAGCATTTTTTGCCCTACTCCGTCTTTGTCATCTATGATAATGAATAAATATAAGCTAAGAAGTTGTACAAAAACTTTTAGCCTTTCGGGTATGGGTTGTAGTGCTAGTGCAATTTCATTAGACTTGGCTAAAAGACTCCTACAAGTTATGCCAAATTCTTATGCACTTGTTGTTAGCACGGAAATCTTAACCCCTAATTGTTACATGGGTCTGGAACGGTCCATGACCGTTCCAGGATGCCTGTTTAGACTGGGTTGTAGCTCCCTTTTGTTAACTAACAAAAGGGAAGAAAGATATCGCGCCAAGTACCAACTCCTTCACACGATTCGAACCCATATAGGGGCTAATGATGCATCCTACACGAGTGTGATGCAACAAGAAGACGAGGAGGGTAGATTGGGAATTGCACTATCCAAGGACTTGTTGGTGGTAGCCGGGGAAGCACTCACGTTAAATATCACTACACTTGGGCCATTAGTATTGCCCTTATCAGAAAAGCTTAAATTTGCATATAATTATGTAGCCCGAAAAATATCTAGTCATAAAAAAATTAAGGCCTACATACCAAATTTTAACAAGGCATTTGATCATTTTTGTATCCATGCGGGTGGTCGGGCCGTGATTGAAGAGATCCAAAAGGCGCTTCGTTTGTCGGCCCAAGATGTGGAAGCTTCTAGAATGAATCTATATAGGTTTGGAAACACATCATCTTCTTCTATTTGGTATGAGTTGAGTTACATAGAGGCTAAAGGAAAAATGAAGAAGGGAGAAAGGGTTTGGCAAATAGCATTTGGAAGTGGATTTAAGTGTAATAGTATAGTTTTGAAGTGTAATAGAAATATTGATCCAAAAATTGATGGGTTTGGGCCTTGGAAGGATTGCATTCAAATGTATCCTATGGATGTTCCGGAAATTCGGAAGTTATAAATTGTAGGAAGAAAAGTTTGGTAAAATGTTTGCCAACTTTAGGAATTGCATTGCTCATTTACTTACCAAAAAATGTAAAATGGGCCATTTTTAAGTATTGTTTGTTGACTTGCTATTATAAATTTAGTACTCCTATGTTTCTTGGTTTCATAATGTTTGATTGATGCTACTTTATTTTTATGTGGCTTAATCCTTTAAAGGTTCATGTTTTGAATGGTGCATAAAAAATTGAAAGATTGCTTTTGGGGTTTATTTGTTGACTAATTATACTTATATTTTGAGACGATAACACAATTGGCATGACACGACACACGGAGCTACGGAGAGAAAACACAAAGTCGATACGATACAAAACCAACCAGAACACGGCCCGCTAGATTTGTGTTCAAATTTTGCAATTTCCCTATATTTAACACAATTTTTGATAGATTTTACGAACAACACGAAATTAATACACAACCATACACAAACATGACACGACACCACTTTTTGCTAGCTCTAAAACTAATCTAACAACGCAAATTAGAGCATATACCCGCTTTTCCTCTTGTTACCAAACACTTGTGAAAGAGCGGATTGCAGCACACAAACCTCTATTGGGGCCCAAACCGCAAACTATGGCTTAAAGCGCTTATTCAAACACCCTTCATCTAAATTACCCGGCAACGGAGACGAAACCTCTGTATTTTTCCAGGTATTTTTTGTTTCATCCAATTTATAGCTTCTTTCGATTTTAATTTTACATGGTTATATAATTAAGGTTGTGTAGATGAATTTTATTTGTGATTGAAATAATTTAAATTTCATATATTAACAATTTACTCCTAACAGATTATTATGCTTGGAATCTATTCAAGTTGCAATTTTGCGAATTATTGTAATGTTGTTCCCAAATCCCAAGTGCCATTTTTCTCAAATAAATTAAAAAGGGGGTTTCAGATTCTTTTCTAAAAATTTGTTAGAAATCTTAGATGATCAAAATATCTGATCTTTGGAATATGAAGTCTAAGTCAGTTTTTGGATTTTTTTTTTTCTTTTTTTTTTTGTTTAAAATAATAATCTAAATTTGACCCACCAATTGTTTTGATTGGTAATTTAGATTATCTTCTTGAAAAAATTATATGTTAATCTTCATATGTTGGAGTGTTGAGTTAGAAAAGGCTAACAATTTGTGGTCTAGAAAAGATTGATACTGAATAGAATCGTTGTTGGGTATGTTATTACAGAATCATAGATCTGGAATATTGGGATTTGAATGCTTTTCTCCTACAACCTTGGGTTTGTGTTCTTGTGCTTTTGAGCATGGTTAAGAATATAAGATATATCTGAATAACTTAATTTGAGAGATGAGAGGTTTATTTGGATGTTTGAATAGAGATATGAGTGATGGAACAAGTTCAATTGATCGAATCTCGGAACTACCTGACTTCATTCTTCACCATATATTGTCATATCTTTCAACAAAAGAGGCTGCTCAAACGGGTGTTATATCCAAGAGGTGGCGATATGTTTGGGAAACATTCCCTATCCTTGATTGTAATGAATGGTTTTTCGGAAGAGAATTGGATATACTTAATCCGAAGGAGCTTGGGATTCCTAAAGATGAGCGTCGTAAGATTTTCAATCAAAGATTGAAGTTCATGAGCTATGTTGATGAGAAGCTTCGTCGATTTCGTGATGAGAATCTTTGTGTGAAGAAGTTTTTTCTTCATATAACCCTTGTGAGTAATGATTTAACCCCTCGTGTTGATACGTGGATGTACCTGGTAGCTGATTTGTGTATTCAGGAATTAGATCTGTATATTACTATGGGAAGAGAAAGACTCTATGACCTGTCTAAGAAGTTACTTACAATGGAATCGTTAACCATTCTAACGTTAAGAGGCTGCCTTCTATTAAGCAGCCGTCTAGACAGGAATGCTGTTAAGCTATGCTCTTTGGTTGAGCTGCTTCTTAGGGATGTCTCTATAGATGAGGGTACAATCCAAGATCTCATTTTCTCCATTCATTCAATGAAAGTATTTACTTTATTGAACTGCTTAGGTTTTGAGAATCTTGAAATATGTGATCATGATAAGCTGGAGAAGATGGTGTATCATCCTCACAAAGACTTCAAGGCCAAAAAGCTTAGCATTAAGGTGCAAACATTAAAAGAAGTTGATTTTTGTAGCGTTGATGAAGAAAAGAGGGCATGTGAAATCATTGTCAGTTCTGTTTGCCAAAATCTGAAACGTTTGTCTTTATGCGGGATTCCCATAGATGCAAAGTGGCTACAGAGCATGATTCCATCCTTTCCTTTGCTTGAGCATCTGTTTTTGGGTGGTTGCATATTGCAAGAAGTTATGAAACTCTCAAGTCAAGCTCTCACGGAAATGCATGTTTGCAATTGTAAGAAACTGGTGGAAGCAGAGTTTGATACACCTAATGTACATTCATTTGTGTATCGTGGGAAGACCATGCCTCGCTTATATTTAAGTAGTTTTGCTGCTTATCGGACAGCAGAGCTTTCTGTTCGTCTTGAAAATATGGACAGTTTATGGCTCATGAGGTTGAACAACTTTCTCAAAGATAACAAATTTCAGGACCTGACTTTTTGTATGACTGCTAAATCAGTATGTCTGCGTTTCAACTTTGTAGTGCTTATATAATTCCATTTTGAAGATTTATTCCTATGCTTATTTTGGACAATATTTTTCTTGGTTTTTCAGGATAAGGCTATCTCTTTCAATGTTGAGGACTATGTGGGAATCCAGTTTTCTCCCTTGGAACTCAACATTATGAAGTTGGTTACGCATACATTGACATCAGTAAACTATGCAGCTCTTTTAGATGCCTTATTTTGGAACTTGCGTCCCAGGATATTGTCTTTAGAGCTTAATTATTATTCTCCTGAATTTTTGAAAGTATGCCTTCATTTCTCCCTCCTATGAGTCCTATATATCACTTTATATATTGGTTTGCAATTGATTAATAACAAGTTATCGGTTATGCATCTTAAATGCTCCTTGCTCGGTTGTTCATGGTTTAACTGTTTAAGAAACGTATGAGAAGATCTTCTACTAATACCAGGGATGAGTTAAAATGTTGAACTGTAAAATATTGTTGCAGGGAATACTGAAAGGTTTGTTGGCTAAAGAAGAACCAAGTTGTTACTGCTCTCAGAATCTTGAATGTTGGCGTCACTCATTGAAGGACATAAAGCTAATAACTGTGAAAGGTTTGAAGAGTAATATTGTGTTTAATGCGATAACCTTGAACAAGCTGATTAATTTCTTGGATGATTGGGTGATTGAAGCCCAGAAAACTGTTAAATCTTGTGAATATCTCAAAGTAGAAACTTTATCTTTTCAATTGTCTTGGCAATATACTAATATTGTACAGTAACAACACCTTATGTGAGGTGTGGTATATTAGAAGCGGGAATATATGTGATGCGGTGATGTCCTTACGCTGCTAGTGTTTGGAAGGCTTCCTATATTGCAGACTTCCAATATTTGGTGATGTAGTGGGATGGGTAGAGTGGATTTTTTTTTGAAAAAAAAATATCAAAAAAATCCTGAAGTAAAAAAAAGAGCAGAATAAACCTGTGAATGAGATGAATAAACCTGCTGGGAATATGGTAGCAAAGAGGTCTGATGCAGTTTGGCATCCTTCTGTGGCTGGTAAGCAGGAGGTGAATACTGATGTATGGTACTTGCTTTGGAGATCGAGGTGGTAGTTGGCATGGGAATTATAATAAGATACCATAGTGGGGGTCTGTACAACGAACTATCTGTAAGCAGTTGAAGCAATCTTTGTATGCTAACATTGTCGAAGAAAAGGCAATCGTGCTTGACCTTCTGATGGCTCTGCACAGCAATTCCTGTGCTATAAAATTTCTCCAAGCGACTGTTTGCAGGTTGTTAGTATGGGATTTAGGTGTAATAGTAAGGGAAGCTTAAAATTTGCTAAATGTTTTGATTTAGGTGAGTATTTTCATATTTCAGAGAAGCTACTGAGGTTGTTCATGCCACGGCACAGCCTTAACCCCCTTGATTGCCCTATAAGAGTGTGGGTTTGGGGATGTCCGTTGGTTGTGGAAGATGTATTAGCTTTGAACTATTGTCTATCTATAAATAAAAGCTAATATAATGATGGTTTTATCTAAGAAAAAACACCTTTTGACAAACTTACAAGTACTATAGTATGACTGCTCTGTTAACTCATGCATGATTAACCAAATACCTACTTTGATTTGTTAACTCATGCATGATTCACCGAATACCTACTCGTACTTCTTATGATTGATCATATTGTATTTTAATGCAACATTTTCAATAAATAAAAATATACTATTTTTTCTATATATCTCTTGTCACATGATCCTCACCTCTGCCATACTAACGTATTTATAGTAAATTTACCTAAATTATTCACCTAATATTACTCTTACATAAATTGAACAAAAAATTGGGTGTTTCTATCAATCTTTCCTGTGCTCTTTTGGACTCTTTCTCTCCTCTCAGGTTATCACCATTCCATCAAATTCAACAAATTGAAAGGTAATTTTTTTTTTTTCAATTTCAGTTAAATTTGTGTGTTAATTACATAAAATGATACAAGTATTAGTAATAAAGAGTATATTTGCATTTTATTACAGATTCTGGATTAATGGGGGTTTGAATGCTTCTTTTGTTGTGCAACATTTTTCAGTCTGAATAAATTCTGAATAACTTAAAAATTGAGAGAGATGGATGATGAGGGACAAACCTGTATTGATCGAATATCCAAACTACCTGACTTCATTCTTCACCATATATTGTCTTATCTTTACACAAAAGAAGCTGTTCAGTTGAGTGTGATATCCAAGAGATGGCAATATGTTTTGGAAACATTCCCCATCCTTGATTGTTCTGAAGGGTATTTCGGAAAAGATTTGCGTGTAATTAATCCAAAGCTGAAAAGTATTCCTAAAGATGGGCGTCGTAAGATTTTTAATCAAAGAGTCGAGTTCATGAGCTACATTGATAAGAAACTGTGTCGATTTCGTGAAAAGAATCTTCGTGTGAACAAGTTCTCTCTTACTATAACTCTTGTGAGCAACAAGTTGTCTCCTCGTGTTGATACATGGATGGAATTGCTTGCTGGTACTCGTATTCAGGAGTTAAATGTGTGTATTCGTGCAGGACATGGAAGACGACGTGATATGTCTAAGATTTTATTTACAATGGAGTCATTAACCATTTTAAATTTTCAAGGTCGTGTTCTATTAAGTAGCCGTCTTGATAGGAATGCTGTTAAGCTATACTCTTTAGTTGAGCTGCGTCTTATTGGTGTCTCTATAGACGAGGATACAATTCAAGACCTCATTTTATGTTGTCGTTCAATGAAAGTATTCTTTTTGATGAACTGTGTGGGTTTTGAGAATCTTGAAATATGTGATCATGATAAACTGGAGAAGATGGTGTACAACAATTTACATAGAGACGTCAAAGACAAAAAGTTTAGCATAGAGGTGCCAACATTAAAAGAACTCGAAATCACTTTTCGTAATGGTGGTGAAGAAACAATGGTATGTGAAATCATTATCGGTTCTGTTTGCCAAAATCTGAAATGTTTGTCTTTGCGGGGTATCCCTGTTGATGCAAAGTGGCTACAAAACACGATTACATCCTTTCCTCTGCTTGAGAATCTGCATTTGGGTGGATGCATATTGCAAGAAGTTATTAAACTCTCAAGTCAAGCTCTGAAGGAGATATGTATTAACAACTGTATGAATCTGATGGAAGCAGAATTTGATACACCTAATGTACATTCATTTAAATATTGTGGGCAGACCATGCCTCGCTTATACTCAAACAGTGTTGCTGATTATCGGACAGCACTTCTCTCTTCCCGTCTTGAAGATATGGACAGTTTATGGTTCATGAAATTGTACAACTTTCTCAGTGATTTCAGATTTCAAGACTTGACTATTTGGATGATCCCTTATTCAGTATGTCTGTCTTTCAACTTTGTAATTGCTATTTTGATTATTCCTTTGGTTATTTTGTGATTATATTTTTCCTGGTTTGTCAGGGCAGGGAAATTTCCTTCAATGCTGAGGACTATATCGGAATACAGTTTCCTCCCTTTGAACTCGACAATATGAAGCTGTTTATGAATGTATTTACATCAATAAACTATGCAGCTCTTTTAGATGGCTTATTCTGGAACTTGCGTCCTAGGATTCTGTCATTACAACTTCTTTTTCTTTCTCCTGACGTTTTGAAGGTGTGCCGTCTTTTTTTGTCATCACTTACTTTCTATTGGTATGCATTGCAGTGACAAGTTTTAAGTCCCTCAGTTGTTCAATTGATCAATTGTGTAGGTTTGCGGAATGCATGAATGCTTTGAGAAAAGATTCTACTAAAATTTTAATATTGTTGCAGGGGCTACTGAAATGTTTGGTGGCTGAAGAACCAAATTGTTACTGCTCTCAGAATCTTATATGTTGGCGTCACTCGTTGAAGGGTATAAAGCTGATTAATGTGAAAGGTCTGGAGAGTAATACTGTTTTGAATGCGATTACCCTGAAAAACTTGACTAATTACTTGGATGATTGGGTGATTGAAGCCAAGAAGGGACCTCAGGAGAAGAATTTCCCTATGACTTCTTTATCTTTTGAATTGTCATGGTATACAAAAGTTGCACTGTTTCACCTTTGTTCATCTTATTTCATTATTTGAGTTTTGATCGTTGAGTATCTTCATACCTTTCTTTGCTAGGTGCTAAGCTCTTCCGCTTATGCTATGTTGTCGCTGTTCCCGTTACCAAAGCTTATGACAACCATACCATCTAGCAGCCTAGCAGATCATCTAGTTGCTGCACAACGCCACAACCTTCCAACTTTGCTTGTAACAATCACAGTACACTTTGTGTACTTAAACAACTTTCTAAACCTACAACTTCTCTATATAAATACTTCGCATTTTGTCAGTTAATCAATGGTTTCCCGACTACTTTTATGTAAACTAATCTACGTATATTAAGTGCTTCTCTTATTTTCATTGTATAATATGTCTTTGCTACTTACTCTCTCCGTTTGTTTCTATTAGTATATTTGGAGTTTTTCACAATTATTAAAGAGAAATGAATTGGATAGTAGTACTTGTAATTGATTTTACTTCAAAGAAGAAAAAAAACATGCATTTATTGGTAGAGGATGCATGTGAATCAACACAATAATTGGTACATATTGTACTTATATACGAAGTACTTTATTAGCTACACAAACTAAATTACGGGACCATACGTACATCGGTACATGTATTAGTTCATTAGTTGTATACTTTCTCCATTTAACTATAATTACAACTGTTAAAAATTTCAGGTTAATGAGAATGGGGGATAGTTCAAGTAGTTAGAGCTCTCTCCCAATTTCAAGAGATCTTGAGATCAATACCCAGAAAAACCTAACTCCAGTAATTTAGTCACTCTGACTTCCATTTTTACACCTTAATTATTCTCTTCTCTTCAATCTCTCTCTTCGTACTGGTAACAAGAAAGGAGCTTGCATTTATTTTCATTCAGGTAAGCGTTCGCCCTATTCATTCTCAATTTTAAGAATTTGAAGTTAATTTTGATTTTTTTTTTTTCCTGAGTTTTTTTTTGGTATTGACCCTTTTGTTAATTGTGTGTAAACATTCTAATGAACTCATTGCTAGTTGCTAATTTTATTGGTTGTTTTCATGCCCAATTTCATGTTACATTGATGACTTGAATTTGTAAAAATATTCCATAAATTTTGGATTCCATATTTCTGAGAATAGCTTCGTTAAATAACAATCTAGCTCCTTTTTTTTTTTTTTTTTTTTTTTTTTTTTTTTTTTTTTTTTTTTAAGAAATTCAGCAAAGTATACTCTTTGGTGATCATATATTGTTATTTTGGAGAATGTCCCTTTTAATAGCTGATAATTTCAGAACTTGAAAAACAGAAGAAATAAATTGAAACCCTGAGCAATTTCAACAAATTGAAATGTAATTATGTTTACATTTTTGTGTTAATTACATAAATGATATTAAGGAGTATATTTGCATTTATTACAGATCCTGGATCATTGGGGGCTGAATGCTTTCTCTTGTTGTGCAACATTTAGAGTTTGGAGTATATAATTTAAATTGAGAGATATGGATGATGAGGGAAAAACCTGTATTGATCGAATATCCGAATTACCTGACTTCATTCTTCACCATGTGTTGTCTTATCTTTCAACAAAACAAGCTGCTCAATTGAGTGTTGTATCCAAGAGATGGCCATATGTTTGGGAAACATTCCCCATTCTTGATTTTCATGAACGGTACTTTGGAAAAGATTTGTGTGTAATTAATCCGAAGCAGAATTGGATTCCTAAAGATGGGCGTCGTAAGATATTTGATCAAAGAGTCAAGTTCATGAACTATATTGATAAGAAATTGCATCGATTTCGTGAGAAGAATCTTCGTGTGAACAAGTTTTTTCTTAGTATGACTCTTGTGAGTAACAAGTTGGCTCCTCGTGTTGATACATGGATGGAATTGCTTGCTGATATGCGCATTCAGGAGTTAAATGTGATTATTCATGCAGGACATGAAAGACGACATGATTTGTCTAAGATTTTATTTACAATGGAGTCATTAACCCTTTTAATTTTACAAAGTTGTGTTCTGTTAAATAGCCGCCTTGATAGGAATGCTGTTAAGCTATCCTCTTTAGTTGAGATGCATCTTATTCGTGTCTCTATAGATGAGGATACAATTCAAGATCTCATTTTCTGTTGTCATTCAATGAAAGTATTCTTTTTGATGAACTGTGTGGGTTTTGAGAATCTTGAAATATGTGATCATGATAAGCTCGAGAAGATGGTCTTTTATTCTCAAAGTGGATTCAAAGATATAAGCATAAAGGTGCCAACATTAAAAGAACTCATTATTCATACTGGGGGCGAGGAAACGATGGTACATGAAATCATTGTCAGTTCTGCTTGCCAAAATCTGAAACATTTGTCTTTGTCGGGAATTCCTATAGATCCAAAATGGCTACAGAGTGTGCTTACATCCTTTCCGCTGCTTGAGCATCTAGTCTTGCAAAATTGCGTATTGCAAGAATTTATGAAACTCGCAAGTCAAGTTCTGAAGGAGATGCATTTGTTAAATTGTACGAAATTGATGGAAGCAGACTTTGATACACCTAATTTACATACATTTGAATATTGTGGGAAGACCATGCCCCGCTTATATTCAAATAGTGTTTCTGATCATCGGACAGCAGAGCTAGAGGTCCGTCTTGAAGATATGAACCGTTTATGGTTCATGAGGTTGAAAGACTTTCTCAAAGATAACAAATTTCAAGACCTGACTTTCTCTCTGACTTCTATATCAGTATGTTTGCCTTCCAACTTTGTAATTGCTTTATTATTCCTTATAAATTTTTTTTCAGACAATACTTATATTTGGTTTTTCAGGGTGAGGCGATCTCCTTCAATGCTGAGGACTATATGGGAATCCAATTTGCTCCTATTGAACTCAATAATATGAAGTTGGTTCACTTGGTTTCGTATTCGTTGAAATCAATAAACTTTGCGGCTCTTTTAGATGGCTTATTTTGGAACCTGCGTCCCAGGATTTTGTCTATACAGCTTGAATCTTATTCTTCTAAAAAATTTATCAAGGTGTGCCTTCATTTCTCATATCATCACTTCTATAGGTTTGCCAATGATTAAAAACAAGTTGTCAAATTTCGCATCTTATTAGTTCCTTGCTGGATTGTGTATGTAAAATATTGTTGCAGGGACTACTAAAAAGTTTGGTGGCTGATGATGAACGAAAATGTTGCTGCTCTGAGAATCTTGAATGTTGGCGTCACTCATTGAAGGATATAAAGCTGATTAATAATGTGAAAGGTTTGAAGAGTAATACTGTATTTAACGCGATGACCCTGAACAACTTTACTAATTTTGTGGATGATTGGAAGATTGAAGCCAAGAGAATAGCTAGATCTACTATATTTGTCAAAGATGAAACTTTATCTTTTCAATTGACATGGTAATAAGACTGTTTGTAAGCAGTTGATGCAATCTTTGGATGCTAACGTTGTGGAAGAAAAGGCAATTGTGCTTGGAGTTCTGATGGCTCTGAAATGCAATTCTCACTACGGAGTATAATTGTTTATATTTAAAATCCACTATTTGCAGGTTGTTTAGTACTTCGTATGAAACTAAATTTAGGTGTAATAGTGAGGGAAGATATTTGCTAAATGTTAAGAGTGAGGTGAATATGTTCATATTTCAGAGAAGATAACTGAGGTTGGTCATGCTGCAGCACACCTTGATTGCTCTACTAGAGCGTGAGTTGGGAATGTCCGTTGGTTGCGAAGGATGTATTTGCTTCGGGTTGTTGTCTATCTATGTATGTAAATAAAAGTTATTACTCAGTGTAGTCTGTAGTCTGTGTATTATACAATGATGAAAAAAGCATCCTGTGTTATTACTTTCAGATATGTTATGTCATCACTGCTTCCATTCCCATTACAGCCTGTGATATTGTACCAAGTTCTGAGTTTGGCTAGCAATCCTAGCATCAGTACTACTCAAGTTAACGCAATACTTAAGCCACTATGCCATATTAGAAGTTAGATGAGTACTTAGAAACTTTGCCATTGATAATGGTTAAGATCTCTTTCTTTGGACATCTAAAATTCATATAAAAAGGAATTGGACTACTTAAGATTAAGGGTAATCATTTCTTGATGAAATCCTATACGGGTAAGTGTTATAAAGAGATCATTTTCTGTAAAAAAAATTAATAATTTATTTTGTTTAAGGTTAGGATGAACAGTGGAATTATTGAAAAAAAACTACGCCCTGATTTTAATTTTAAAATAATGGTTAAATCTCTCTCTCTCTCTTTATTATTGCATCACTTTTCTTTTTGGGGTTTTTTTTTATATGCATTACTTCTATACTTGGTAACTTTATATTATATTTTATTATTTTTCACTCTTACTTTAAACCCTACTTAACTTATTTTATCATTTATCTCTGTTCCATGGTCCCCACTTAAATAATAAAAAATATTTATTCTCTCTCACATACTTTCTCTTTCAAAAAAAAAAAAAAAAATTCTCTTTCATAGTCCTCATCTTATTTTTACTATAATACTTTATTCATCTATTCACAATATTATATTACTATCCTAAAACTTTGTGTAATCCAAAGTGATGCAAATAAAAAAAACGGAGGGAGTACAAATTTAAAGTCACTTTTATTACATTTTAAGCTCTACTCGTATTACTCTATCATGTCAATATTATACTCCGTAGCGATCAGAGAGAGTACAATCTTATCCAACACTAGTCTTAGGTCTGTTTACATTTACTTAATTTCAGTTCAATTCAGATCAGCTCCTAATTTCTTTCTCTCAAAAAATATTCATTTCATCTCAGTTCATCTCTAATCAGTTTAGTTCAGTAAATGTGAACAGACCCTTACTGCATCCGTCCTCGGACTAACTTGAGAAAAATAATTTGGCATGCAAATCTAGGGAAAAAAATTACTACGGTTGGATGACAATTAACAAATTATTAGTAATTTTATTCGCAATTTTTTTAAATGAGTGCAATTGTCAAATTTTTCTTATTTAATTTTTACTCATTTAATTAAAAAGTAAAGTAAAACAAAGCTTCTCTCGAAAGCTAAAGCTAAAAGCCTAATACCCATAAATTGTCAAAGAAGCTAAAGCAAAGCTCTCCAAGAAGCTAAAATAAAAAATTAAACTTGTAAAAAAATTTCACTCCTCTTCCATTTCTACACTCAACTCTTCGTAACAGTGACTAATTGCAGTTATTTTGCTTCTGGTAAGTTTTTCAAGCTTTCTTTTACTTTCGTTGCTCATTTTTTTTTTTTTAATTTTCTTGTTGTCAATCATTTTTCATTATGCATGTTCGATTATTGTAATAATGTATATGAACAATATTGTAAATTAATTGTTAATTGATTGATTTCATGCCCAATTTTTTTTTTTTAAACCCTAACCCTCTTTTACTCTCTTGGTTGATTATTCGATGAGATGAAAGTAATAATTCACCTCGTTTTTTTTTTTACCAATTTCAGTTCAAGCTAAACTAATTCGTGTTTTCTTAGTTGATTACATAAATGGTACTCGTATTGATATTAAGGAGTAGATTTGCGTGTGTTTCTATAATTTGAATTTGCTAATTTATCTGGAATTTGCTTGTCTCCAATTTTTTTGGGTTGGATTACAGAACTATTGTTCTAAATTATTGGGATTTGATTGCTTCTCTTTTTATGCAAGGTTTGTATTATTGGGGTCTGAATAACTTAACTTGAAAATTGGGAGATTTATTTGGCTGCTTGAATATGGATGATGAGGGAAAAACCTGTATTGATCGAATATCCGAACTACCTGATTTCATTCTTCACCATATGTTGTCTTATCTTTCTACAAAACAAGCTGCTCAAATGGGTGTTGTATCCAAGAGATGGAAATATGTTTGGGAAACATTCCCTATCCTTGATTGTTCTCAAGAGCATTTCGGAGAACATTTATGTTTAACTAACCCGAAGGAGGGAGAGCTTCCTAAAGATGAGAGACGCAAGGTTTTTATTCAAAGAATCAAGTTCATGAGCTATGCTGATAAGAAACTGCTTCGATTTCATGAGGAGAAACTTGGTGTGAACAAGTTTATTCTTCATATAACCCTTGTGAGTAAAGTTTTGGCCCCTCGTGTTGATACGTGGATGGAGATGGTTGCTAAAAGGAGTATTCAGGAGTTAACTGTGTGTATTTCTACGGGAAAAGGAAGACTTCATGACCTGTCTAAGATTTTGTTTACAATGGAGTCATTAACCGTTTTACATCTAGATGGTTCTATCCTATTAAGTAGCCCTCCTGATAGTAAAGCTGTTAAGTTATGCTCTTTAGTTGAGCTGCATCTTTATTATGTCTCTATAGATGAGGATACAATTCAAGATCTCATTTCCTCTATTCAATCAATGAAAGTGCTTTCCTTGTGGGAATGTTTAAATTTTGAAAATCTTGACATATGTGGTCATGATAAACTGGAGAAGGTGGCGTACCGTCCTTGTATAGATTTCAAAGCCAAAAGGTTTAGCATAAAGGTGCCAACATTAAAAGAACTCGAACTCACTTTTCGTAATGATGGTGAAGAAACAATGGTATGTGAAATCATTGTCAGTTCTGTTTGCCAAAATCTGAAACGTTTGTCGTTGCGCGACATTCCCGTAGATGCAAAGTGGCTACAGAGCATGATTAAATCCTTTCCTCTGCTTGAGCATCTTTGTTTGGCTGGATGCATGTTGCAAGAAGTTATTAAACTCTCTAGTCAATCTCTCAAGGAGATATGTTTTCAGGATTGTATGAAACTGGTGGAAGCAGAGTTTGATACACCTAATTTACAATCTTTTAAATATAGTGGGAAGAACATACCTCGTTTTTATTTAAGCAGTGTTGCTGAATATCGGGCAGCAGAGTTCTCTGCCCATTTCAAAGATATGGACAGTTTATGGTTCACGAGATTGTGCAACTTTCTCAGATATTTCAAATTTCAAGACCTGACTGTTGTGATGTTTTCTATACCAGTATGTTTGTCTTTTAACTTTGTAATTGCTATTTTGTTTCCATTTTAAAAATTATTCTTTTGGTTATTTTGTGATAATATTTTTCTTGGTTTGTCAGGGTAAGGAAATCTCCTTCAATGCAAAGGACTATACCGGGATACAGTTTCCTCACTTTGAACTCAACAATATGAAGTTGGTTATGCATATGTTGTGGATGACATCAATAAACTATGCATCTCTTTTAGATAGCTTATTCTGGAACTTGCTCCTAGGACTCTGTTATTCAAGTTTATTTTTATTTCTCCTAAAATTTTGAAGGTATGCCATTTTTTTGTTTTAATTTTTTTTTTATTATTTTTTTATCGCTTACTTTCTATTGGTTTGCATTGCAGTGACAAATTTTACTACGTAAGTTATCAGTTTATGCAATTGCTCAATTGTGTATGGTTTGCTAAAATAAAATTCTAGTAATATAGAGTATGAGTTGAAATTTTAAATTGTTAAATATTGTTGCAGGGGCTACTGAAATGTTTGGTGGCAGAAGAACCAAATTGTCACTGCTCTCAGAATCTTGAATGTTGGCGTCACTCGTTGAAGGATATAAAGCTGATTAAAGTCAAAGGTTGGGAGAGTAATACTGTATTTAATGCGATGACCCTGAACAACTTGACTGATTATTTGGATGCTTGGGTGATTGAAGCCAAGGAGAGATCTCTGTTGAAGAAATTCCCTGTGAATTCTTTATCTTTAGAATTGTCATGGTATGCTAAAATTGCACAGTAAATCACCTTGGGTGACAGTTACTAATTTATAGTTCATCTTATTTCATTGTATTTTGATTATTGAGTGTCTTCAAACCTTTCTTTGCTAGGTGCTAAGTTCTTCCAGTTACGCTATGTTGTCACTGTTCCCGTTCCCAAAGCTTATGACAACCATTGTTATTGCCTTCATAACACACAGTTTGGCTAGCACCAGCATCATTCAAGCTATCACCGTCTAGCAGGTCTTCTACTTGCTGCACAACCTTCCAACTTTGCTTGTGACAATCACTAAAGATATCTGTAATCTTGAGTAGATGTCTGTCCATCACAATTCAAGGGAGAAGAATCTGGTTGCACATGAATTGGCCTGTTATGCAATGGCAATGTCTGTGGTGCACAAGTATCATTTTGAGCCTCCAGATTGTGCCAAGCGAGCTCTGAAGGGTGATAGTCGCAACATTTATGCTTGATCTGATGTTCTGCTGTTCCAATTGCTGCTGCTGTGTTACATCTTCATCTTTTGTTGTACTCGGTATAAAACTGGTAGTCTGGTTGATAAGTTCATGTTGGGGGTTGTATTTGTAGGCTTTTTGGGTTATTGCCTGCTGCCTGCTGGTGCTTATAGGCTTTTGTTTTCCCCCTGTAATTATGGGCTGCTAAACTCTCTTATGGCCTAGGCCTTTTATAAATTTTTCCTGTTTTAATTTTTTTTTTTTTTTGGACACCATCGTGAGCAACCACACTACTACTACTTCTTGGTCTGTATGTAATCAACTAATAATAGTCTACCCTTTAAAAAAAAAAAAAAAAAAAAAAAAAAAAAAAAAAAAAAAAAAAAAAAAAACAAGGTGCGTGAATTTCATTAAAGTAGGTCGATTTCCGTCAAAGTAATCAGGCTTTGGGGAAACAGACCAAGGGAAACAATTTCGTTACGATCTCTAGTATCCCATCTCGCAACATTATGGGCTACAGAAGTGCTTTTATTATTTTCATTGTATAATACTCGTATGTTTTTGCTGCTAACTCCTTCCGTTCCTTTTAATAAGCTACAGAAGTATATTGGAGTTTTTACTTATGTTAAGGTGAAAATAAATTAGATAATGATTTATTTTACTATAAAAATGAACAAAAATGCATGTAATTCGTGGAGCATGTGAATTAAGACAAAAATAAAAACAATAATAATAAAAAAAAAAAGTACAAAAAGAACGGAAAAATTAACCAACCAAATCAATAAAAATATAAAATGGATATCTGTAATTGCATACTAGTGGTATTGTCAATTTAGGTAAATGGATCGGGTTTGGGTCGGGTAGGAGTGGGTCGGGTCAACTAAGGTTGGGTCAATTCAGATTAATTCCGTAACCTATGCGGGTTGGGTTTGGGTTGGGTCATGCTTGAGTCGGGTCATACTTCTTATCGGGTTTGGTTCGGGTTTAGGTCGGGCTACATTCGGGTCGGGTGAACAATAGGTCCGGTTTCATCCGAGTTTTCACGGGTTAAAATAGGTTTGGGTAATTCTCGGGTTCGGTTCAAGTCAATAATTTGCTTGAGCTGTGGTAGGCTTGAGTTAATGAAATCGGTGCAAGTTGTAAACCGGTAAATTAGTCGTTTAAAGGCAAATTAGATGGTTCCACACTTCCACCCATCCAATTGGACTCCCAAAGAGTATTAGGGACCATGATAAACATTTTGGCAATTTTTATTTTCCAAGCGAAAAAAGTTAAAAAAATTCCAAAATTGAAGACTAATATCCACGCTTTTTGAGAATTTTTGGAGGTTTCGGGGCCCGTTGTCGAAAAGGCTTAAGATTTTAGGGGATACATCTCGGGTTCATATAATGACGTTTGGAACCATATATGATCATTATATGTTGCCATAAATGTTCGTGGTAGGCTTGAATTAAAAAAAATCAGTGCAAGTATTAAATCGGTAAATTGGTCGTTTAAAAGCAAATTGGATGGTTCCACCTACCCAATTAAACTACAGGATGGTATTATTGACCATGGTAAACATTTCGGCAATTTTTATTTACGAGCGAAAAAAAAGTCAAAAAATTCAAAAATTGATGGCGAATATCCATGCTTTTTTGAGAAATTTGGAGTCTTCAGAGCCCGGTGTCTAAAAGTATTGAAATTATAGGGAATACATCTCGGGGTCATATAATGTCGTTTGGAAGCATATATAATCGTTATTTGTTGTCATAAATGTTCGTGGTAGACTGGTAGGCTTGAATTGATGTAATCAGTGCAAGTTGTAAAACGGTAAATTGGTCGTTTAAAGGCAAATTGGATGGTTCCACCTAACCAATTGGACTCCCAGAGGGTATTAGGGACCATGGTAAACATTTTCGGCAATTTTTATTTCCGGACAAAAAAAAAGTCAAAAAATTCCAAAATTGAAGGCTAATATCCACACTTTTTGAGAATTTTTGGAGGTTTCGGGGCCTGGTGTCGAAAAGTCTTGAAATTCTAGGGGATATATCTCGGGGTCATATAATGCCGTTTGGAACCATAAATGATAATTATATATTGTCATAAATGTTCGTGGTAGGCTTGAGTCAATGAAATCGGTGCAAGTTGTAAACTGATAAATTGGCCGTTTAAAGGAAAATTCGGATGGACACTCGGAGGGTATTAGGGACCATGGTAAACATTTCGAATTTTTTTATTTCCGGGCGAAAAAAAAGTCAAAAAGTTCCAAAATTGAAGGCTAATATCTACGTTTTTTTGAGAAATTTTTGAGGTTATGGGGCCAGGTGTCGAAAAGGCTTCCGATTTTAGGAGATACATCTCATGGTCATATAATGCCGTTTGGAACAATATATGATCATTACATGTTGTCATAAATGTTCGTGATAGGCTTGAATTAATGAAATTAGTGCAAGTTGTAAATCGGTAAATTGACAGTTTAAAGGAAAATTGAATGGTTTCACCCACCCAATTGGATTTTCAGAGGGTATTAGGGACTATGGTAAACATTTCAGCAATTTTTATTTTTGGACGAAAAAAAATTAAAAAATTCCAAAATTGAAGGCTAATATCCACGCTTTTTGAGAAATTTTGGAGATTTCGAAACCCGGAGTCGAAAAGACTTGAGATTTTAGGGGATACATCTCGGAGTCATATATTATCGTTTGGAACCATATATGATCATTATATGTCGTCATAAACGCTTGTGGTAGGCTTGAATTAATGAAATCTGTGCAAGTTGTAAATAGCTAAGGTGGTCGTTTAAAGGCAAATTGGATGGTTCCACCCAACCAATTGGACTCCTAGATGGTATTAGGGATTATTGTAAACATTTCGGCAATTTTTATTTCCGGACAAAAAAAAGTCCAAAAAATCCAAAATTGAAGGCTAATATCCACACTTTTTGAGAATTTTTGGAGGTTTCGGGGCTCGGTGTCGAAAAGTCTTGAAATTCTAGGAGATATATCCCGGGGTCATATAATTCCGTTTAGAACCATAAAAGATCATTATATATTGTCATAAATGTTCGTGGTAGGCTTGAGTCAATGAAATCAGTGCAAGTTGTAAACCGATAAATTGACCGTTTAAAGGCAAATTGGATGGTTTCACCCACCCAATTGGACTCTCGGAGGGTATTAGGGATTATGGTAAACATTTTGGCAATTTTTATTTTCGGGCGAAAAAAGTCAAAAAATTCAAAAATTGAAGGCTAATATCTACGTTTTTTGAGAAATTTTGGAGGATTCGAGGCCAGGTGTCGAAAAGGCTTCAGATTTTAGGAGATGCATCTCATGGTCATATAATGCCGTTTGGAACCATATATGATCATTATATGTTGTCATAAATGTTCGTGGTAGGCTTGAATTAATGAAATTAGTGCAAGTTGTAAATCGGTAAATCGACAGTTTAAAGGCAAATTGGATGGTGTCGCCCACCCAATTGGACTTTCAGAGTTTCAGAGGGTATTAGGGACCATGGTAAACATTTCAGCAATTTTTATTTCTGGACGAAAAAAAGTCAAAAAATTCCAAAATTGAAGGTTAATATCCACGCTTTTTGAGAGATTTTTGAGGTTTCGGGACCCAGTGTCGAAAAGACTTGAGATTTTAGGGGATACATCTCAGAGTCATATAATTCCGTTTGGAACCATATATGATCATTATATGTTGTCATAAATGTTTGTGGTAGGCTTGAATTAATGATATCGGTGCAAGTTGTAAATCGGTAAGTTGGTCGTTTAAAGGCAAATTGGATGGTTCCACCCAATCAATTGGAATCCTAGAGGGTATTAGGGACCATGGTAAAAATTTCGGCAATTTTTATTTCCGGACAAAAAAAGTCAATAAATTCCAAAATTGAAGGCTAATATCCACACTTTTTGAGAATTTTTGGAGGTTTCGGGGCCCGGTATCGAAAAGTTTTGAAATTCTAGGGGATATATATATCGGGGTCATGTAATATCGTTTGGAACCATAAATGATCATTATATGTTGTCATAAATGTTTGTGGTAGGATCGAGTTAATGAAATCGGTGCTAGTTGTAAACCGGTAAATTGGCCGTTTAATGGCAAATTGGATGGTTCCAACCACCCAATTGGATTCTCAGAGGGTATTGGGGACCATGGTAAACATTTCGACAATTTTTATTTCTATGCGAAAAAAATTCAAAAAATTCTAAAATTGAAAGCTAATATCCACGTTTTTTGAGAAATTTTGGAGGATTCGGGGCCAGGTGTCGAAAAGTCTTTGTATTTTAGGAGATACATCTCATAGTTATATAGTGCCGTTTGGAACCATATATGATCATTATATGTTGTCATAAATATTCGTGGTAGGCTTGAATTAATGAAATTAGTGCAAGTTGTAAATCGGTAAATTGGCAGTTTAAAGACTAATTGGATGGTTCCACCCACCCAATTGGACTTTCAGAGGGTATTAGGGACCATGGTAAACATTTCGGTAATTTTTATTTCCAGGCAAAAAAGTCAAAAAATTCAAAAATTGAAGGCTAATATCCACACTTTTTGAGAAATTTTGGAGGTTTCGGGGCCCGGTGTCGAAAAGCCTTTAGATTTCAGGGGATAAATCTCGGGGTCATATAATGCCGTTTGGAACCATATATGATCATTATATGTTGTCATAAATGTTTTTGGTAGGCTTGAGTTAATGAAATTGGTGCTAGTTGTAAACCGGTAAATTGGTCGTTTAAAGGCAAATTGGATGGTTCCACCCACCCAGCTGGAGTCCCAGAGGGTATTAGAGACCATGGTAAACATTTCGGCAATTTTATTTCTGGGCGAAAAAAGTCAAAAAAATTCAAAAATTAAAAGATATATCCACGAGTTTTGAAAATTTTTGGAGTCTTCGGGGTCTGGTGTTGAAAAGTATTGAAATTTTAGGGAATACATCTCAGGGTTATATAATGTCGTTTGGAACCATACATGATAATTATTTGTTGTCATAAATGTTCGTGGTAGCCTGGTAGGCTTGAAGTAATGATATAGGTGTAAGTTGTAAACCGGTAAATTGGTCGTTTAATTGTTTAAAGGAAAATGGGATGGTTCCACCCAGCCAATTAGACTCTGGAGGGTATTAGGGTGAGTTTATCCCCAGACTCAGATCCAGACTCCAGATTTTTGACTCCAGATTTTGCCACATCAGCTTTCCACTAACTTTTAAATGTTTTTTTTTTTATTATTCAGATTTATACAAGAGTTTTTCCAAATTCACACATT